TGAGCGCAAATTTTCCACACCTGATTCCACAAACCATTACGGACGGGATCAAAACTACAACCATCAAGAGGAATAAAACGAGGCTTAGGAGAAAGAATAGATAATACAATATAGTAGGCACTTTTAACCGAGAACTTGCCATCCTTGGAGGGACCCAAATCTTGCAATCAACCTCCCCCATTGAACTGAGGGGAATTTGTAAAATGAAAGACTGATCCCGAAGATTAAAATATTGAGAAACTAAATCGGACTTCCACTTGTGAGAGGAATGACTAACAAGGTCTGCAACAGAAGAAAAATTGGTAGCCAAATTCTTTGAAGTAACAGAGAAGTTTGAAGTGGCAGAAAGCCAGTTGTCCTTCCAACAATTGACCTTGGATCCGTCCCCAGTACGCCATCGCATACCTTTTCGAATAATCTCTCTTGCCAAAAGAATGCTCTTCCAGACTCAAAAAGCACCGGATTTGTGAGGAGCATCAACAAAGTTGCAATTTTTAAAGTATTTCGATTTGAAGGATTTAAAGAGTAAAATATCATCACCGGTTTCCATTCGCCATGCAAGTTTCACTAGAAGGGCCAAATTGAAGGCTCAACATTCTTGAAACCAAGTCCACTTCATTCTTGGATTTACAAAGGGTGTCCCAACTGATCCATTTAATTCTATTGAATTTTTCTTCACCACTCCACCAGAAGTTGAGGAGATTACTAGTCAGCTTTTTGCAATTTTGCTTTAGAAGTTTAAAACAGTGCATAGAGAAGGTTGGGAGAGTCGAGAGAACCGATTTCACCATCACTTCTCTGCTGGCCTTCGACAACAACGGACCTTTAAGCAGCTTAGTTTTTAAAGCAACCCTATCTGAGATAAAGTTGAGAGTTGTGACCTTGGACCTGCCCATAAAGGAAAGCAACCCAAGGCATCTATGGCACCAATCAACATTCTGGAAACCCAAGGTTTGTCTACATATATCTTTAAGGGCTGAAGGAAAATTAGGAGAAAAGTATAAACAAGATTTGTCCAGATTTACTAACTGACCTGTTAAAGCTTCATAGCGGTTGAGGACTGATTTAATACACTGCACTCCAGAATTTGCAGCTTTACAGAAAAGAAGGGCGTCATCGTCGAATAGTAAGTGAGAAATTGGAGGGCAACCCCGACCCATTTTCAGCCCTAAAAGTTTTTTCCCTCTCGAACATTCATGAAAGAGCGAGGATAAACCTCAGTACAAAAAAGGAATAAAAATGGTGAAAGGAGATCTCATTGCCGTAAGCCTCTGAAAGGGGTAAAGTAATCTCCTTTTTCTCCATTTAGAAGCACTGAGTATGAAACAGTGTTAATGCATTCTATAATCAAGTTAACCCATCTTGGATGAAACCCCAACAGACTCATGAACTTGCATAGAAAAGACCAATTCACCCTATCATAAGCCTTTGCCATATCCAATTTAACTGCCATAGAACAAGAATCACCATGTTTTTTTTATTTGGCAACATGTAAAAGGTCATGAGCAATCACAATGTTATCATGAATTAAGCGATTAGGGAGCGCTCTGGGATTCACTAATTAGAAGAGGAAGAAAAGGTTTGAGTCGATTCGCAATGGCTTTTGAAAAAATCTTATAAGCCACATTACAAAGTGCGATTGGATGGAAATTCATCATTGAAGTAGGGTGAGAAACTTTTGGGATCAGAACCAGGTTGGTGGAGTTGAGACCTATGGGAAATAAACTGCCTTCCAGAAATGAATTGAAACCTTTAACCAGATCCATCTTAAGCACATCCCAGTTCGTCTGAAAAAATAGAGGAGTGAACCTGTCCGGGCCTGGAGCTTTATAAGGCCCCATGCTAGCCACGGCCAATCAAAGCTCATCGCTGGTCCCCTCGCGCAGTAGCTCGCAATTCATTGCTGGAGTCACCTTGGGCGTCACCAAATTCCAAAACGGTAAATCATCAAAACATAGACTGGCAGCAAAAAGATTTTGGAAATAGTCTTCAGCAACCTTGCGGATATCATCTTTAGAATCCCTCCACTGACCACATTGATCTTCAATCCCAAAAATCTCATTTTTCCTTCTATGGATTTGTGTTTTTCAATGAAAATTTTTTGTATTCTTATCCCCATGATTCAACCAACCAATTCGTGTTTTCTGCAGCCAAAAAAGTTCTTCTTCCCTCCAAGCGTTGCCCAACTCTTGTTCCAACTGAAAGCACATCCCTTTGTCAAAATCAATCTCTTGTTCGTTGAGACGCTTCAGCTTCTGGTCAAGATCATTTATCTTGACCTTAGCATTATTGCATTTTCCTCTTCGCCAATATTTAAGATTGGCCTTGCAGAGAGTTAGTTTATGCTGGATACCTTGAAGTGGAGGGCCAGGAAAATGGTCATCCCACGACTTTGTGATAAGAGGCTTAAACTCCTCTTCTTTAACCCATCGAGCATCAAAATGAAAAGATCGTGGAATATGAGAGATAGAATCATTTAGACACAACAGTATAGCATTATGATCTGATCCTTGGATGGTGAGATTGTGAAGCATACATCGGGGGAAAAACTAAGACCATGCAGGTGTGCAAAGGGCTTTATCAAGTCTAGCAAGAATGAGTTTATTTGATTCCCTTTTGTTTTGCCAGGTGAAAAGAAACCCCTTAAAGCGAATATCCAGCAACTTACAATCCTCAAGAAATTGTTTAAATTCTTTAAGCATCCAGCCTTGCTTAAGACGACTTCTGCGTTTCTCATCATAGTGAAGTACTACATTAAAGTCACCTATCATTGAGGGCCATGTTGAAACATAAGACTGTGAATATATCTCCATTGATAAGCCCTTTCATTTTTCGTACAGGACCCGTACACCTCTGTGAAAACCAAGGGCGATCACCTTTGCCGCCAATTACTTTACAAGTGATCTGAAATGCTGAGAAGTCGAGAATCGAAATTTGTCATTCTTTAGAGTATAAAAGAGCCACACCACCTGACCTTCCCACCGACGAAACCTCAAAAACATCATAGGACCCCAAGAAAAGTCAGACCTTTTCCACTCGATCACGTGCATTCCTTGTTTCAAATAGAAAAATTAAAGGTGGAGAATGAAGGTTAACAAGCCTTCTCAACTGGGAAACTGTCAGGGGGTTTCCTAAACCCTGACAATTCCATACCAGAACCTTCATTGGGGGGGTTGGAGCCACTTTAAGCTGACAACCACCTTTGAATTAGATAAAAGGGAAGAGAATGTACCATCTGAAATCATGAAATCTGAGTAGGGGGACGTTACTCTGGAACGTTTTGGGTCCAATTCTGCAAATACTTCTTGAGTTTCTATTTTCCTCTTTCTCGGTGATAGTGGGTCAACTGAACCATGCTTTGTCTGCATCCTTGCTTTTCTCTTCCATGAACGATGACTAGGAATTTTAGGTTTCGTTTGGATACATAGGAGAGAAAAAAAAGGAAAGGAATATAAGAGAAAAGAAAAGAAAGGAAATGATAGCTATAATTTATATTCATGTTTGGATAGATAGGAGAGAAAAGAAAGGAATTGACAATATTGTTATTTGGATAACACAAATGAGAGAAAATAAAGAAAAGGATGATAATGAAATTACCATCTTACCCTTTTTGGTAAGGTTAGTAGGGCAAAATCATTTCAGCCTCTCATAGCCTCCGTCTCTGATCATCTTTCTCTCGCTCTCTCCAAAACTGCATATCGACAAATCATTTCAGATTGTTCCAAAAATCAAAACCCATATATTTCAAGCTTGCCCCCCTCTCTCTGCAACTGAAATGATTTTATTACTTGTTTGATTTCGCCTGGTTATGATTTGTGGCAGTTTATTCTTTTTTGTATAACAGGATGCAAAGCCAAGAAAAATTGATCTTAAAAAACGCTGAAATCTTGAACCATTTTGTATCTATTTACAAAGCAGAAGGAGTGAAGCTCATCAATGGCCAATTTGGAATTGTCTTGGAATCCATTCAGGTAAGCAGGTTTCTATTACTAGAAAAATTAATAATTTTTATTTCTTAAGTTGTGACTTTTGTGTCCTATTATGATGAATTATGGTCTGTAATTCTTATTTTGCAACTCTCTCTCTCTCTCTGTGTGCAACTGCAAACTACAAACTACATATAGATATACATATATTTCATCCTCCCTAATAGCGTCCATCTCCTTCTCAGCCTCCCTCTCTCTCTCTGCAACTGTAATCAAAACCCATATCCACATATCATTTCAGATTGTTAAAAAAATCAAAACCCATATCTATCAGTTTCTAGCACCTGTTGTTCCAGTCCAGTTCGGTCGCCGTTCACAAATCAAAGCTTCAGCCGACTGTCTCTCAACTCTCTTGCCCCTTCTGTAATTTGCTCCATTTCTCTCCAAATCCCTCCAAATCTTGTCAATTTTGGAGGGATTCCAAATGAGGGATTTGGAGGGATTGCTATCCCTCCAAATCTCTCCAAATATTTTCTTTTCTCTCCTATTTCTTCCATTCGAACACACTCGTCACTATCCTTCCTTTTCTTTTCTCTCCAAATCCCTCTAAATCCCCCAATCCAAACGCAACGGTGAAAGAAACGGAACAAGTGGACTTGCTAACAGGGGAAACAAAGCCTGGAGCATGTGAATTAGCTGTGACAGAGTCCTGTAGGTTAACAACGGAGTTCGTGAAACCCGGCTGAATAGATGGATCTATGAGAGAATGGTTGTGAGAGGATGGGCTTTCAGTGTGGACTAGCAGAGCATTATTTAGTATTGGGCTAGGAATAGATAGCCCAACCGCTTTATTGTGGGTTAATAGAGTGTCGGGAAGGGAGGGCTGGTGTAGTTTCCTTTAAAATTTTAAGGATACATTGCGCTCCGGTAAGGTTAGGTTAAGATTCGACATATAAGGTCGGGTTGAGTCTTTAAAGACTAAAACGCACGAGTTGCATACTTGCATCCCACTCCAAATCTATCGGATCTATCACTTAGAGGCCCGACCCACAATAAGATCCATAAAGACTACCGAAGATCGAAACCTGCGTGCATCAACATCATCTTTTTCTTCACTCTGCCTTGAAGGAAAAGAAAAGCCCCTTCAACCTGTCCCCCAAACCCTCCATCAAAGAAGAATCACACACACACACATAGAGAGAGAGAGATTGTGATTGTGTGTTAAGTGGAAAGAGGGAAGTAAAGATGTTCAGGAACCAGTACGACACAGACGTGACGACATGGAGTCCGGCAGGGAGGCTCTTCCAGGTGGAGTACGCAATGGAGGCGGTGAAGCAAGGGTCGGCAGCGATTGGGCTCCGATCCAAGACCCACGTGGTGTTGGCGTGCGTCAACAAGACTAATTCGGAGCTCTCGTCTCACCAGAAGAAGATCTTCAAGGCCGACGACCACATCGGCGTCGCAATTTCAGGCCTCACAGCCGACGGCCGTGTCCTCTCCCGCTACATGCGATCCGAATGTATCAATTACAGCTACACTTACGAGTCTCCCCTCCCCGTCGGCCGCCTTGTTGTTCAGCTCGCTGACAAGGCCCAGGTTTAAAACTAAACCAACTCCAATTTCTCTTTCTTATATCTATATATATGTGTTATTGCTTTGTTTGATTTGAATTTGGTGATTGTTTTGTTGGATCGTGAAAATTAAGGGATATTAGGGTTTATGTTTAGTAGTTAGGAATGGGGCTTTTTGTGGTAATCCGTTTGGTCTCTTAGAAAAAGGAGGTTAAGAAAGAGAATAGACCTGGGCTTTTTGTGGTAATCCGTTTGGTCTCTGAGAAAAAGGGGCTTTTTGTGGTAACAGGAAATTTTGGTTTATTTGCTTGATCGTGGTTGGGTCATGGTCGATGTGCGGATTGTTTCTCATTATGTGATTTAGGGCTTCAATATTTGTTTTTTTCTGCTCAAGAAGTTGCTATATGGTTTCTGGTATGATTTTGTTTCAAGTACCGGTAAGGAGAGGGAAAAAGAAGCATGGTATCTCGCAACTCGTGCGTTGACTTTACTGAATTTAAGCTTCCAATTGTTCTAACATCTAGGTACTGAACTCAGATTTTTAAGCAAGGGAGATGTTGTCAAAGTGCTTGTTCTGTTGTGACACTCAGGTCTTCCAGTTAAGCACAAGATTTCAATAATTGAGCTAGTTGTTGATTGTAGAGAGTGATAATTCTATGTTAATGCTGCTCTCCTTGATGGAAGTTGCATACAAGCAGTCGTTTGATCAAGCACATTTTGCTACCTCACATACAATGTCTTGCAGATTACTGATGTATCATAGTTATGTAATCCAAGAAACTTCACCTTGGATTCCACTTTTATTTGTAGATTGCTTAATATTCTGTTGTAACACTCAGGTCTTCCAGTTAAGCACAAGATTTCAATAATTGAGCTAGTTGTTGATTGTAGAGAGTGATAATTCTACGTTAATGTTGCTCTCCTTGATGGAAGTTGCATACAAGCCTACCTCACATACGATGTCTTGGAAATTACCGATGTATCATAGTTATTTAATCCATGAATCTTCACCTTGGATTCCTCTGTTATTTGTAGATTGCTTAATATTCTTAGGTGCGGCTTCCTCATTCTTATTTTGCTGGTTTGAACTAGAGAAAGTATTCCGGCAAAGTTAATTTTCAGCTTTCTCCTTACCCCAAACAGCTAGCTGGTGAATTGTTTTTTGGGCCACCTTTAATATGATGCCAACTGTTCTTGCTGAATTGCTAATTGTTTCAGTCATCGTCTGTTTCTTATTTCAAATGGATTTGAAAAAACTTTCCTGGTGTTGTAAGGCTTGAAGCAAACAGAAAAAGAACACAAGTCTTCTTACGGAAGTAAGGAAGACTAGGAATACTCCAATCACCGTCGGGACCTAGATTTCTAAAGGGAAATCTGGGAAAAGCCTGAAGAACTGTTTATAACTGATAATAACTCAATATATATTGATTATGACTTCATTCAGCAGATACATAGGGCTGCCCATTTTATAGTACAAGTACTAATGACACTTGCTTTTCCTAGACTGACTTTCAAACTACCCACAAAACATTAATGATGACTTCTACTATTCCCATAACATAATTACTAAAACTTTGACCAGACTCTTTTCAAGACTTTTGTGATTTTGTTTTTGTTTTCCCTTTTCCTTGAGGGGAAACTTGTAAGGGACCTAAGGGTTTGATTGGCATAGGGAAGAAAAAGTTTAAGCTATTGGGTAGTGCCGCATACCCACCCATTTATACCCCTTTCACTTTCCATCCGGATCCGATGTGGGACAAATACCCGTTGTAACAGAAGGCTACAAGCCTTTATGGTTTGACGAGCAGGTTTGCTTATGGTGATTGAACTTGAAGTTGGTCTAATCAATCAAAGTATAGGCTGTAAAACTCATAATAGCACTGAGGAATTAGTATTCATCAAACTCTAATGAGTCTTATGCTTAGAACCTGCTAACATACTTGCTTAGAGGCTGCAATAAAGTGTCACCAAGGAATATCACCAGCTAGTAAAAATGGTGTAATCTTAATTAATTGAAAAAATAATTATTAACTGCAGGTCCAGGGTTTGGAGTCTTGTATAATGGACGCAAAGTCAAATTTTAGTAATTTGATGACTTTAAATTCAGTTTGAGCGTGAGTTTATTGTAGGCTTTACTCCTTGTGTATATAATAATTGAAATGACTTTAAATTCCTATTGAGCATGAGTTTATTGCTTCCAACACTTATGGAGAAAATCTTTGAAATCTCAAGTGAACCTGCCTCCAAACTGAAACTATTGCGACAGTGTATTAGTATCTTGATTCATATTTGTTGTACCTTTATCACCATTTGCTATTTGTTTTCACATAATTACACATATATATTGGGTATGTGGATGAGGTTGGTTTAAATTTGACCGAACTGAAGTCCGTTAACACTTCTTCCACTATTTGTTAAGTTTGTACTTTTAACTTCCATCCCCCACTGTCTTCCCCTTCCCTGCTTCCTGAACTGATCACTCTGCCAATTACCAAGATAATTACCTTTTGCATAATCCCAAATAACACTCTGATAGTTGCTTTATAGCTCTTTCTTCAACTGAATTTGGCTCTGAAATAGTCCTACAGGTAGTTAATTTGTGCAAGAATCTGCTGTAAAGCAACTCATTTTACACTTGTTATTAATTATTTTGCTTGACATTCACTATAGTTTCTGAACTTTTTTTGCCCCTTAGGTAGGTCACTGTAAGTTTTAGGGAAAAAAAATGATATACAATGAAGCTCAAAACACGCTTGGCTGTTTGCATACTTGCATTTCAATTATTTTTAAGATTCAAATCTCTATTTAAGACCTGATCAAGCCATTTGAGATTTACTTATCGAAAAAAAAAAAAAAAAAAAAAAAAAAACCATTTGAGATTCACTTGATGGGTTATAGCCCTATAGATTGTGAATTTAATTGAGCTTGGAGATTTGATCAACACTTCTAAGATATGAACAAAACTGGTTCCATCCAAGTCCATTCTTAAGCAAAAATAGTCAATCTGGAGGTCTGGGGAGAAATGTTTTTCTATGGCTGTGATTGACTTGGAAAAAGTACAATATTTATGTCCTCGAAATTTTGGGAAGAAGTGCATTCTGGATATTAGTTTGAGGTCACTAAAGACATGCAAAGGATAGCTTAAATTTAGGAATAAATAAGTTCTGGCGAAATTGATTGATATCATTAAATACTTGCAAAGAATACTTAAACAAGCCCTTGAGAAGTGATGCTGATACTATGGAATGTCTATTAATTGTTTTTCTATGGTTGTGATTGACTCTTCGTATTCACAATTAGGTGATCTGTTTTATTGTTTTGAATTTTCAAATTCTGTGGGATTGACAGGGAGATGTTTTGGTTTCTACTAATGCATATATTTCGTGTTGAGCCAATAAATAGACCTCTAGGGCGGGATGTGACTTGAAAAAATCCCGACCTTTTCTGGGTAATTCTAAAGCTTTGAGCTTTATAATCTTATAGTTTGGAAGATCTGTGGGTCTTAACTGCTGCATTTCAATTGAACTACAGAATGAGTTGAAGAGAAAAAAAGAAAAAGAAAAAGAAGATAGGTCTTATATTATAAAGCAGAACCTTTGTCAACCTAGAATAACATCTAATTAATAAGTGAAGATCATATGAGGGTCTTGCATTTATAAGTTGGTTTTGGGAGGGTACTTCAATAGGATTAATTATTATTTCTATTAATATTATTATTTTGTCCACGACTGATTTTCCTGGGTTAGGCCAGGGTTTGGTTCAGGCAACAATGGTTGATTGCAGCAAATTGTTGCTGTTATCTGTGTTGTCTCATATTGGACCTAAACAACGGTGAAAACTTGAAAGAATACTAATTCCTTTTCCCATTTGGACGGGTCTGGCAAATAATTACCTGTCTTAAATACATACTTTGGACGTAAGAATTTGAAATTATGAGTGCTTTATTTATTGGGCTTTGGTTTGGAGCTAACTAAGCTTGGTTAGGGGACTCAAAACTTTATTGGTGATAGAAAAAAAAATTTAAAAAAAAAATCTCTTCCTATGAGTTTATTCATTGGTCTCGCTTAGTCTTTTAATTCATGTGTTGTAAGATGATTTCTTGTTTGCCTTTACTATCTAAAATAGTTGTTCAATTACCTCAGTATCAGCTGAAGTTAATAGGGATACCACTTTAGCCCATAAATTGGTCGCTCATCTAGATTTTTGTGCATGCTTGTTACTAGAATTTAGACATATATTTTGCTTTAGCAGTCACTATATCAATCCATAAATTTAGTGTGTGGCACTAAAATAGTAAAATCATGTCAATTTTGTTAGGCTTGATTCATTTGTTGTGCAGAAGTGAGCTAATAATCAGAAAATTAGTATATTCTAGCTTTGCATCTTATAATTAGCTTTTTCTTTTGACATGTAAGAAATGCTTCTCAACATTCTCATACAACAAATATAAAATTCAAATTTCATTGACAAATAATAAAATTCAAATTCCTGTTATATTATGTGGAGTATGATACCCCTGCTAGGCATGATTGTAACACTGAAGGTAAGGTCTTCATCTAATGCACCCATCCAAGTAATCTGTATAAGTGGACTGACCCTAGGCAATGACCTTTCTTGACCCTACATCTTGGGCGTTGGTACACTGCTTAATTGCCATCTGAACCAATTGCATTTTCTCTCTAGCCCAGGGTAAAACAAATTTCCATGTAAAACTGCTTGTTATAAATGAAAACTTGCTCACTTTCTAAAAGACATTCCGAAGGTAAAAGTTTTGAAGGTTTTTTATTGGCCTTGAGGGGGCTAGTTGTGTATACCTCAAATTCTTTGTTGAGCAATTTTGTTAAGTGAGGCTTTAACAGTAGACGTGTTGGACCCATATTCCTTATTCTATATGGCTATACCTATACTAATATCTTTCTGTTTGAGACAAAAAATAAATAAATAAATAAAATTGAACTATCTTTTAGCATAGGTTCACAATTGGTTTTTGGTCCCTCTAATAGGAAGTTCCATAATGACATGACGACTGCTGTCTCCAAGATTTACCATCACATGCATGGATTCAACACAACTCCCTCACCCTCGGCATGCTAGAATACAATATGATGTTATAAACATAAATTTGGCTTTTCTCGTTGGCCTTTCTTTCAGTTCTTGGAAGAGATATTGTTTTCTTTCCTTCGCTGTTTCAGCAGAACTGCATTAGTTTTTTTTTAAGAGGATTGCTTAATGGGAAGTCAGTATTGTTATACTTGGTCTTCAGCTTCGACTCTGCATTTTCTTCATTTTTCATCTTCATCTACATCTATAACAAGCAAGCTGGTGGTTCTTCTACATTGCTGCAAGAGCAGCTCATTCTCTTTTTCAACTCACTTTCTTGATTGCAGGTTTGCACACAGCGCTCTTGGAAACGGCCTTATGGTGTTGGCCTGCTGGTAGCTGGCTTGGATGAAACTGGAGCTCACCTCTATTATAACTGCCCAAGTGGAAACTACTTTGAATATGAAGCCTTTGCTATTGGGTCCCGCTCACAAGCTGCAAAGACGTACTTGGAACGAAAGTTTGAGAAATTTATGAGCTCTTCACGAGATGATCTGATTAAAGATGCACTTTTTGCATTAAGAGAAACTTTACAAGGAGAGAAGTACACAAGCGCCACATGCACAGTTGCTGTGGTAGGAGTTGGAGAGGCATTCCATATATTGGATAATCAAACTGTACAAACCTTGATTGATGCATTTGAGATGGCGGCAGAACAAGGTCCTGCTAGTGAAGAGGGTGCTGCTGCTGACCAGGATGCTCCTGCTGACCAGGGCGCTCCCTCCGACCAGGGTGCTCCCTCCGACCCAGTTGCATCTCCAATGGATATTTGAGGATGCAAGAGCTATGAACTCCATCCATGTGCTAGAACAAGGTATAAGAGAATGCTTAAAGAAATGAGGTTATGGAATATGGATGGTACCCTAGACTGTACCATTCCCTGTTGGATATTCTCTGAGTTATGCAATTTATCCTTTTGTTTTATCAGAGAAAACATCCTAAAGCATGGTTTTGTTGAACTTCAATTGTCATTTAAACTTGTTACTATAATTAAACTGTTTGCTTGGGTCAATCTGTTTCGGTTCTGTTTTGTACTGACGTACCATGTAGCCTTGGGAGGAAGTCATTTGACGAGCAGGATAGCACCAGCGGTGGCTATTTTGCCCTAGAATTCTTGGAATTTGGATGCTTATTGCTTAGAATACCAAAACCATGTTAGTTGAGGTCAGGAGCCCGTGGTTATGAGTAATGCCATTAAGAGAGCTAGCTCTTCCATGACAAGAGTCCGTGGGTAAATTCATTTGTTTTTTCACAGATCTCAAAAATTGTTTCAACCCATAGTTAAATGTACAGAGATCATGACTCCTCCCATGAGGAAGCCCTCTTGATAGCACTCTTGATAGCACTCAGGACTCGGACCTGAGAAAGCCCTATTGATAGCATTACTCTGCTGTGAGGAAGCCCTCTTGATAGCATTGCTCTGTGGTTATTTTGCACTAGAATCGTTGAAAATGGGACATGAATCAACAGATCATGTTAAGAGTATGAAGCAGCTTCAGGTCAAACAATAAATTTTGCGGAGTCTTGAACCCTTCAATGCATCTCCTCTATCTTCCAAATAACAAACCAATGCATCCGAGAGGTTGTAGCATTTGGCTGTGGAAAATGTGTAAATATTGCTTCATTGTTTTATATTTTACAAGTTAAAATTATCCATTCTAAAGGAAATACAAATAATTTTTTATATGCAAAAGTATTCATTCTAAGGCTCTATGTGTTTTGAAGTAAAATTAATTTTTTTTTTAGGTAAAATATTCTTTTATTTTTACGTCGGTGTTAGGCAAAGACCTACGTGCAAAGGCCTACGTCGAGGTTGAGGTTAAAGGCCTACGTCGAGGTTGAGGTCTAGTCCATCGGGTGGGGCATGTAAAATAAGTTGTTGAAAATTTATGGATAAATTAATTTTGTTAAATTTTAATATTTTTTTTTTCATAAATATTTACGACAACCAACACTAGAAAATAAAAAAAATATTTTCTGAAAAATATTTTACGTCCACAAACGGATCCTAAAAGAAATACAAATAATTTTTTATATGCAAACTACATCCCAGTAGGTATGAATCTCCTGTAATAATAATAGACATATCAGGATATAGAGCTTTCCATTCCCACAAGCATAATTCAAATTCATAGGGACATAAACAAAAAGTGTTTTAACACCTTTTATTCTTTTCTTTGCTGGTTATTCTTTAGGTTCTGTGTCTTTTCATTCTTTTCACAACAGCTTTAGGTTCTCAGTTCACATTATTATGCAAACATGTCTCATTCATTAATCAATTTCATTTATGTATAAAATCAAAAGGGCCTGTCACGGCAAAGTATTCAACCTAAAATTTAGTCACAAATTTATTTATAAACCTTGAGGATTCAAGAAATAAAGTACAAAAACAACCCATTGAGGACTAGGATGAAGATTGGGGATGTCTGGGTTTAGGGATTCTCAAGGATGGATCAAAACCGAAGGAATATTAGACTTGTTAGTTTTGATGAATCAAATTTTGTCGACAAATAAAGTGGTCTTGCATGCATTAAACGAACCAGTAGTTCCAAAATTCAACTTCATAATTTATGCTTAAAATTGATAAAAAATGAAAAAGACTCGAGAAGTAACCACATTCCGTGATGACCCCGAAAAGAGATTTAATCTTCTTCAAGGCACATCATTTGCCAGGTTCAGGGACAGGGAGGTCCTTGGTTTGCATTTGCTTATACATCCACTGCCAGTTTTCCTGTGTTACCTCGCCCCCGAGAGAACGAATAACAGAACCACCACTGCATGAGCCCACTCTGCAGCATTCCTCTAGTGATAGTCCCTTCACCAATCCATACAAAAACCCACTTGCAAACAGGTCCCCTGCTCCAGTGGCATCAGCTGCTTTTGACTCCCCAATTGCCGGAACCCGGACAATCTGAAGAGAATATAATTTTATACATAACTTAAAAGAACAACCAAATGTGGAAAGAGAACAATATGCTTTATACGGGAAACTTGGACTCATGTTCGATACATTGTTTGAAGGACAAAGACAGATCATTTTCTATTGCATGAAAGATAGCCTACTGAAAAACATAAAAGAGGTATCTTGCTTATCTAATATATGGATGTCCAATCACGGGTTATCCTAACATAGAACTTCATGAAGACAATTATGCTGTGCAGGGCAATATGAGGGATAGGCTAGGAGGCTAGTATTTAACCTTCCATAAAATAGAGGGTTTTTTAGGATTTAGCCCCATTAGGATCTTTGAATTAAGGTGGGGTCATTTTTTGAAAATTATAAAGCCAGGCAGATTTCATAAAATGTAGACAATTTATTAATTATCCACCAGTTGATCCCTGTTAACCCGTTGAAGGACACGATTGGTGAGTGTGAGAAAAGTTGTGCAATTTAGAAAAACCCTATTAATATTTTTGGAGATTATCTTTTTGCAGGTTACAACGTTATTCAGCTATATATGTTCTTATACCTACATGAGAAAAATATATTAAAAAAACGTAAACTTTCAGTCAATTCTATATGGAATAGGTATTATACAATATATATATATATATATATATAGGAGAAGCTAATTTTTGTTGATATCACAAAATTAACAAATTAATATATTAATAGTTAAAGGACAAAAAAGACACACATGGATTTTCCCCTGCTCTACTAAAAAATATCTATAAATAATTGCAGACCAGTCACATCATCTGAGTGACTAAGATAAAGTTTTACAGACCTCTTTTCCATGTTTTGCAATGCATCCATTAGGGCCCAGTGTTACCACGGCCCATCGACAGTGTTTGGCCAAAAATTCTAGAGCAGCTTCAGGATCAGCAACTTGGTCACCCCTACAACCATAATAAGAGAGAACAAAACCCATGCACAGTGTAGTACACTGAATATTTGCAATTAAAGGAAAGGAACTCCAACCGGAAAGTCCACTTTCATCACAATATGTGATAATATGATACGTCAAGAAACTGACAGTCACCTTAGCAACTCTGTTGCTTCATCCTCGTTCGCAAAGCAAAGGTCTATGTTCCCTGACTCCAGTAATTGTAGAAGAGGTAATCTGAATTTTCGAACCATCTGGCAGAAGTTGAAAGTATCAGACTAAGGCATTACAACTTCTGGCACTTAAAATAGTGAGCAGATGCCAAATGAATGAAAGAATTCTATTTTGCTTTGAAAAAGGAAACCAAAAAAAAAAAAACTGGATTTTTTCCTAGATTTTTAAGAAAATGGGTGTTATTTTAGATTTTGCTAATATTTTTGTTCATGTGCTAACAACCAAGCCCAAAAGATGAATAAACTTCAAAAGTTACAGAAAACAAAATGGACACATTCACGTTTTAAACACTCTATAAGGGCATGTAAAATTTTACCTCAAAGCTGGCCAAATCTAAGGAGATAAAAATGCCCTCTTGTTTGGCAATCGTAATAGCTGCATGAATAAGTTCCAAATTGAATGCTGCATATCTCATTACCAACCACTGTAACACAATATACAAGCAAATAAGTTGCAGAACCTCTAGAGTGTACCAGGTATGCTAACAAATGAATAGGCAGTTGATGCAATGAATGATACAATATTACATCGAAGTTCCAATTTAGAATGAGGATACACCTTCACGTCTACAACCTAGTTGATATTTGATTAACAACGTTTTAACATCAATGGTAGGATACAACATAGATACTCTTGCAGACGAAGTTTATGGAATGAATGATACATATTGAGTTTGAGGCAGGGAGAAATCAACAGAGAAAGTTTAGAAACAATACTGAATAAGAATTTTTTTTAATTAAATATTCGGAGAGACCTTCATTTCTACATCAAAGCTTGGCATTGATTTACAAAGTAATTGACATCATCGGTTGCTGGACAGATTTAATCCAATTATTTTATGAATTAATTAAAATAAGACCATCAAGATGAAATATTTGGGGGCGGTGGAGAGATGATCTTGCCATACGCAGACATGGCCAATGAAGTTCCAATTTCAAGGAGAGATACTAACCTTGGAACCTTTAAAATCCTCTCTCGTTAACTCATCTGCCTGACAGAAGAAAACATAATAATAACATCATGTAAGCTTTATCTTAGTAAGCAATCTACAAAGTTCTTTAGGTTTCAGGAATTTACCACAGTTTAGAGTACATAAAAATTAGCATGCACCTGAATTTTAACAGCACTTGAGAGACAAGGCCGCATTGTACGATTCCCCAATGAATCAACCAAGCAAACACACTGCCATATCATCAATCAATAACGTTTCAGCAGTTATCATCCAGAAGCCTAACTAAATGAATGAAAGAACCAGCCCACTCCAATGGTAGAAGCAACGTGAAACTCACCTGACCAGTAAGTCCCTTTTTCATCCTCAATCTTGAGATATTCACCCCATAAAAGCTCATGTTACTTTTAAACAAATGGCCTTGCTCATCATCCGCGTAGGCTCCAATTATACCACAGGAGAGGCCAAAGCCAGCAGCTAGTCCTCTAATAGTATTAGCAACACTGCCCCCAGCAATTGTCTTCATATAAGATGGATCATTTGGTAAAGAAAGCATATGGGTTTTCACCTCCCTCAATATGTACTCGAGCTCTTCAATTGCAACCTACTTGGGACAAATGGAAAAAGTTCATTCTAACATCAATTTCATCTATCATGTGCAATCCGCTCACCGAACTAAGGAGAACCATTACGAGTTATTGATTCAATTCTTTGTTAGTGTCAGGAGATCCAACAAGATAAGAAGGAAAGAGTGGGGGAAATAATACCAAATGCATATAATTTTGACATTAACATATCCAAATGCAAATATTTTATCAAAAAGAGAGAGTAAGTTGACTAAAGCAAGACAATTGAACATTTGAACTTATCAAAAAAAAAAAAAAAAAGCAAGACAATTGAAGAGTTCAATTTTCAGGTTTAAGAATTGCTAATTCAAACAATCAATTGATAAGAAAGAGAAGGAATTCACTCCCAATCAAGAAAAATGAATAATTGTCAATGAAGACAAATGACAGTAAAGATACTAAGTATGAAGCTTAATTTTAAATGATCAAAGCATCGCAAATTGTTAAAGGAAGTTATAGCAGGAATACAAGTTGATCCAGGGTCATGACACTACAATAAACACTCAAATTGGGAATATTACGATCCAACTCTAAGGAGCATGGTGCCCTGAATTCACAGTTAGCATTTTGATCATTGTGCACAAAGTAATAGAATTGAAAAACCTAACATATCAATATATAAAAGACACAATTTTATGAATAATTTTTTTTTTTTTTTTTTTGTTTCAACATCAACCTAACCTTTTGTGCTTTTAATATACCTATTGATGATACTGATATTGGTTATTATGAAGACCCATACAAAAAAGAACATTTATTTCAGTTCTACCATAAAGTAGCAACCTTGTCCTGATCTTCCTGTAAATAATCATAGAAATTTATGAGGTTCCATTTCCTAAATTGTACTTTCCCATTACAGCAAAACCCAGATTCAAAGAGAATGCAGAAACCAAATTGTTCATCCAAATTGTTCATCCACATACCCACACATACCAATTCAACATAAAATGTAACCAGCACACAAGCCTGTTTAAGGACATTAATCAATTAAAAAAAACCCAAAAATCCAAAAATCATAAAGGTCATAGACAAACAAAAAATTAGCACTAAACCCAACAACAACAAAAGAAGCCTAATATCATATATATATATATATATGAAAGAGAATTGGAGCAAAGAAAAGAAGGGAGTACCGGGAAGGAGCCACCGGACTCTCCGGGGATTTGGGAGAGAAGAGAGGAATCGACCCTGGCCACATGGTCGATGAGGGCAGAGGGTTGGAGTCCGAGAATGAGAGGATGAGGAGCACTATCACCTGAATCACACTCCACTTCTTCTTCGTGATTGTTCTTTGAAGGCTGAAATTCTGCACCCATTGCAACACCTCTTCTCTTCCAAATGATTCCTCCTTCCGCAAGTAGGAGAAGCTTACGCCACCTCTCTCTCTCACAGACCTCCCTTTGCCCCCTCTATACTCCAATATTGTGCGTGTCTATATATATGTGTGCACCGTCAGTTGAAGGAGTACTGTGCCCTATACGCCTAGAAACAGTGGATTTTTAACTTTATTTTACACGAAAAAAAGAACAAGATAATTGTATAAACTCTCCCCATTTTTGTATTATTATTATATTCTTTTTTATAACAAATTTGTCATTTTTGACTCTCCAATAATTTGGGCAATACCCAATGTTAAAAGATATGTATGCTCGAATTCGAGTACTTTCCTTTTATGATGGATTTGGTTGGGGGTATGGGAAGGAAAAGAAAATGGGAAGGAGAAGAAAAGAAAGATAATGGAAGAAAAAACGAAAAGATTCAGAAATAAGTTGATGTGTTAATTTTGTTAGCCTTTCAACAATGAAAGGAAATAAATGAAAATTTTAATTTTTTTTATAAAATTTTATTAACACTAAATTTGTCCTCTTTTCCTTTTTTAAATAACCAAACTGAATAAGTAGTTAATTATATCATCTCTTTTCCTTTCTTTTAACTAATCTTATTCCCTTTTTTTTTTCTTTTTTTTTTTTTCATTAAACCAAACATAGCTTTAGTTTACCAGAACAATAATAATAATAATAATAATTCTAAAAAAAAACTTTCCAAACTTTCCAAATAAGTTGAAAAAGACTTTCCAATAATTCTATTTGTAAAACGATTGAATAATATTTTTAATTATACTTTGTAAGTTAAAAAATATAAGAAAAAGATGAGAGTATTACGACATTGTAGTCTACTATTATCTAATCTTCTTTTAAAGTTGAAAAATAAAGAGTTCTTTATAATAAAAAAAAAAAGAAAAAATAATTATTAATATGTTATTTTTATGTTTGTGAATAATGCTTCCTAATTTATATTTAAATAATAAAGTATTGGTTCCTTTTCTTTTCTTTCCTGAATATATTTTATACATGTTAAATTTTTAAATAAAATGACATATGAACAATACTATATATACATATTATTTAATAATATTATTATTATATAATACATTTCTAAGTGCATATTCAACTAAAAATGTTGGACTTATATTTTATATCGAGATATTTCACCTACTTTTTAAAAAATCATTTAACGTGGCATTTATCTTAAGCAATTGAACATTTTGGAATTTAGTAAAAAATAAAAAATTAGTATTTAGTAATACAAAAAATAGAAGTGCAGAGGTCTATTTTTCAAATATGGAAGAATTCGAGACGAAAATAGAAAGATGATCAAAATTGTGAATCTATGGATTATCATTATCCATCCTAAAAATATCAATCCGTGCTGGGGTTTTCAGAGCAGACTGACTAAAATCATTTGATTTCAATTGCTATTAACTTTTTTTTTTTCCCCCTCTAATTTAACTTATCTTGAAATTTTCAATTATATATATATATATATATTTAGACCATGTTTACCTACTCACTAGACTGATTCAGTCCAATCATAAGTGTCCGCATATTCTTTAATTCCTGACAAATCACCTTTAGTTATTAATTGCAAGAGTTAAAAAAAAAAAAAGAAAAAAGAAAAAAAAAAACCTGAATCATTTTGGTTCATTTTTCTCATTTATTGCTTTTTTTAAAAAAATTTATAATTAAAAGATATATTTGCATTTGTGATTGAGTCATCTCTTTTTTCACTCCACATTAAAGTTATGAAAAATAATAAACTTAATCATTGAGATTTTTTCACCGACACGGCGATGCATCATTTTTTCATCGACACATCCATGTCAACTTTGGCTCCACTTCACATGGCAAAATTAGACAACATATATATATACATAGGTCTGGTTTGGTTTGGAATTTGGATAAGCATGGTTACAAAAAAAAAAAAAAAAAATATATATATATATATATATATATATATATATAAAGAAAAATGATATATGCACTAAATATTCAGACCCAAAACTTAAGTCGATGGTGATGTGTCATTATAACTATCCTACACTTAAAAAGATAAAATTTTAAAGACAAAATTATCCTTACACAATCTCAATTACCAAAGAATTTCAATTACCAATAATATCTCTCATCACCCATCTTTATCGCATAATTAAATCATTCGTTATATAAAATTGGTTTCCGACACTTCCCTTAATAGGGATGTGCTGAGATATGAAAATGAATTAATTAAGAGTTAAATATAGTAAAAATAAAAAAGAAAACTTTGAACAATGATAGTATACTTGGGACTTTCGATTTTTCCACGTTGAGGACATTGCTATGTGTGGTATGAAGAAATGGAAATGGAAGGCATGGAATTATTTTTAGGGAACAGAAGGAAAGTTCATATTGTGTTTGATTTTTTTTCTTTTTTTTTCACATATTGTATTTGTTTGATTGAGTAGAAACAAATAACAAAGGAATTTTTTTTTTTTCTCCCAAAATGGATAGTAAAGGTTGGAGTTATTCATTTTTCTATTTTGGAATGTCCCAAAAAACATATTTCATTTTAAAATTGGATGTACTATTTTTTTAACTAAACAAGTGCAATAGTTAGCAATATTTTGTCTTTTAAAAAGGATATATTTGAAATTTTACTCTTATCAATATAATAATAATAATAAAAAACTATTAAAACTCCACTATCACAGAAAAATTGGATTTCTCAAGCATGACATGTATTTTGGGACAGAAAGTGTAAATAACAAAAGCAAGTGTTGGGTTAAATTTTTTTTTTTCATTTACTTTAAGAAAAAGACAAGAAAATTAACCCAAAGGTTGGTTATGAAGCATTAAGGTCTAAGATTTGACTTCCCTTAACTGTAAATAGTTTTTTAAAATTACTGGGTGAAAATCCGAAGTTTACCGAATCATATGAAGAGAGTACTTTGAACGATGTCTTGTAGATTAGTGAGACAAAGCTCTTAGTACCTCAACTCTTCAAAAAAAAATTAATAATAATAATAATAAATAAATGCCACAAGAAAATGAGTGCATTCATTAAAGGGGAGTGCATTTATATAAATTATATCATCTCCCACCATTAAACTTTCTTATGGTGTATTATTGTATTCACATAGATGCTATCTTGGTAGACTCCTTTGTCATTATTAATGTGATCCAACAAGATTATTTGGGTGAGTTTTTTTTTTTTTTTTTTTTTTTCTCACAAATATTTTTTTTAATTATTTACTTTAAAAAGAGAAAAGATATCACTAAACTATGTAGACGGACATCCATGAGTGAAGGTTGAGCAAGAGCCTCATGTGAGGATTGAGAATTGGTATTGGTCACCTACAGGGAATAAGTTGTCACAGTGATATTGCACCATGTAAAGCCACTTGCCAATTGCCATATAATAGTACATTCATCCTTTTGCTTTCATTATTATTATCATATTATGCTTCTGAACAAACAGATGATCAAATCAAAACAAAACAAGAAAAACTACATAAAAGAAGCAGTTGATACAATCAATTTGGTGGATAAAGCTGAGGCTTGCCGTATGCTTCCACACCATTCTTCAAATGTCTGCGCACAAATCCTATATTTTGATACGCAAATCTCCTCTCTTGGCCATTATCCTCCTGCCATTTTGTATGGTTTTGCTCTGAAAAGCAACCACGTCCGGTTTCGGATCTTACAGAATTTTTTGTATCAACAGTATTCATCCTGAGTAACGGAAAATAGTAAGTCCATATTAAAATGTACTCCCTCTGTCCCCAAAAAAAATTTCCGCTTTCAAAAAACTGCGACCGACAATTTTCTTTTTATTTGTAACCATGATAAATTGGAAAATCGAAAAAAAGACTAACATGCAACCATGGCAAACAAAGAATGGAGGGAGAAAATGAGTGATGGTGGTGGACAGAACCAAACAAGAAAAGAGATGCGCAATAATTAAGAGAGCTAGGTAGAGAGAGTGATTGGAGGGACGAACCTTTTGTCACTTGCAGACAGAAAAAGGCAGCTGAAATTGCGGGACTAATTCATCATTGGCTTTTCAAGATTCCATCAGCCTATCATCTTTTTTATTTTTTTAAAGATTCCACTCAGCCCCATTAATAATCACCAAAAAAAATCCCAACCACAGGCAATATTAAATATTAGTTTTCTATTTTGCATAGATTAATTACTACGTATATCACATGGGTTAGGTTCTACTAGCTAGTAGGAACCATACAATAGGAACAGATTGCTTTATGTTTTAATATATGGTAGCCACTAGTCATCACCATTCAACAGTGTTCTACTACATTGTGATGAATTTTGCAATTTGGGGTGGGGCATGCTTGCTCTATTTTAATATAAAAATTATCAATTCAAATTAAGAAAATAACTTTTTTATATATAGAAGTAAGGTTACTTGTATTTGACTCTCTTCAAATTATATAAGGATTGACATTATTAAGTGGTCTAGTTCGTATAATTTTTAACTCTTCAAACAGGTATATTCGTGTTTGAGTTACCCTCCTCTAATTTATCGACATACAAAAAAACTCCTGAAAAGGCACAATAAACATGAATTTACTTGTAACATGTTATGGTTTACAATTAATCAAGTAAAACAACATTAAAGAAAGATTGACAAAAAAGTATAGAGATGGCAACGAAGGCGGTTTTGGGTGGGTGTACCCTTCCCGTCCCGTAACCGTTTAGAAATTCACGCCCTGTCCCCTACCAAAATTGCCTAAATGGTGGCCTTTTTCACAACATACCTGCCCCTTTTAACTTTTTCACCCTCACGGACACCTACCCGCCCCGTTTAGTTATAGAATTTTTTCTCATTTTTTATTTTTTTCCTCAAATATAATTATATAATTATTGAAAAAATTCTTAAAAAATGGATAATCAATAATTTAACATAAATTTCAAGGGTATGAGCATTTTTAGCTCGTAAGGCTTTGTCGCTCTCTAGAACGGCTGAGAAAGTGAGTAAATGTGACATATGAGTTCTAAAACTAACTATATATACTAATAAAATAAGGATAATTTAGTAATTTATCTATCTAAACGGGAGGGGTGACCTCCCTCGCCCCCGTCTTAAACCCGCATGGGTTTTCATTAATAAAAATTAAGGCTAATCACGGATCGGATCGGATCGGTTTGGTTTTGGATAAAATTCAAACCAATCCGGTCCTCACGGATTGACTAAATCAGAAACCGAACCGATCCGTGGGGACTCTTAATCCGAACCAAACCGAATTGGTTCAGTTTAATTCCCTCAGATTGGGCCTGACAGAACACAACTAAAAAAACTGAAATTAGAGGCAAAATACTATTTTTGTCTGAGTCATGCATGAATTTAAAGGGAAAAAGAGAATCTGTTATTGTTAACTCTGTTTCAAAATATTAATTTTCGTCTGAGTCATGCATGAATTTCTAAAGAGTATACATATTAATAAATGAGATATGAAAATAACAAGGGAGAACTGAAACTTGGAAATTAGATGTAGATGAAAAGGAAATGATCGGCCGATGTAAATTGGAGATACTTAAATGTGAGAGACTGTGAGCAGAGCAGTGGGTTTGTGGGATCAGATGAGACTTGAGAGGAGGCCAGAAACACATGTAAATGAAAGGAATATAAAAAACTAAAAAGTGTAAAACACTAAGCCACAAAGTGGTAAAGTATCTTGGGTTCGTAAAATAATAAAACTTTTGAAAACTTAATGATTAAAGAAAACAAAAACATCAATAATGTATTCTGCATATACTGTATACTATATTTGTTATTTAATATATGTATATTAATTCTACGGATTGGCCACGGATCGATTCGGTTTTTTCAGCACTTAATCCGTTAACCGATCCAGTCATTACGGATTACTAATTTTTCAATCCATCACAGAACCACAACACTAAAAAACCAAACCGAACCGCACAGATCGGATCAAATCGGTTCGGTTACCAAATTGACGGATTATTTGAACACCCCTAATAAAATCCATCCAGAGCCAAATAAACTAAACGTCCCCTAAAACCATTATAAACGGAATGGATACACCCCTTGCATCGCAAATTGCCATCCCTAGAAAAGTAACGAGAGGCCCTTAAATAACAACCAAATAAACCAATGAGCAGGGCGGAGTTAATTAAGGCCCAAAGGGGGCACGTGCCCCTGCCCTTGCTCCAACTTACTATACATAAGTATATATTTTTGCTATATACATATATTTATATAGTAATTTTAAATAGTGACCCCTCTAAAATTTTCAAATTCCTCTAATTTCTTTTTGAAAAATAAAGTGACATATATCCCATTCTTGGAGTACACCAAATATTTATCCTTTTCTAATTTTTGTTTCCTTTTTCAAATTTTTTTTTTTTTTCACTTATGTATAATTATGTATTGTTCCATTTTTTCCACTTCTTTCTTTTTATCGATGATATTTGTGATTGTATTTAATTGAAATATTATTAATCAATATTTTGATTCTTATATTTGTAAGTATATTTTTTTTACACTACTTATTTAATATATTATTTTACAATTATTTTTTTTATTTTTCTTTTGATTTAAAAAAATTATATTTGTCATATTTGTTGATTTTTTTTTCCTTTTCAATTAGTATATAAAATAAAATCATAACCCCGCCCTGCCAATGAGGCAAAGCAAATCAAAAAATGTAACACAAAAGTAACATCAACTCTTCACAAAAATAACCAAAAGCCTTAGAGCTGGCATTTGTGAGTGTGTGAATATATTAAAAAAAAAAAATTAGAAAAAGCAAGTCAAATCAGATATGTAGAATAAAAGCATGTGCAGAGTTGTGCCCGAATTATTTTCGGATCAGGTCAATGCGGCCCATTTTTTTACTCGATTTCGATTTTTTTCTTTATTTTGTAACTCTTGAATCTGAATTCTCGTATTTATTATAATCCAAGATAAGAGTGTTTTGATAATGTAGCAAGAAGTTAGTTGACCCTAATTCAAGTGTGTGCAAAAAGTTAAAAACTATAAATTAGTCATATCACTAGATTTTTTTTTTTTTTTTGGAAAAATAGTCATATCACAAAATTGCAAAACACAATCATAATACAAATCGAGGAACATTGAACTTCACAGACAATCCAGGAAGCATGGATTACTGAATCTTTGGTATCATTATAAAAAAACGTCATATCACAAGATTGCTAAAACGTTAATGCACTTTTAAATGATTGTCTATCGATTAGTAGTTATACAATCACTTTTTCATGTTCATGTTCATGTCCCTTGTCAAAAGTATCATGTAATTGCTAGTGCGGGCCATTTCAAAGGCCCAATATGAGGACTTAATTGGGCTCACGACGGGTCATTTTATCAGGCCAATAATCTCTGAACGATAGTGGGGTTTAGTGGGTCGGGATTCAAATTGGGCTTTAGGTCTTTCTTGTGATACTTAATACAAAACTCAAACAAAAAAGAATTATGAGTGGGTCGGGATTCAAATTGGGCTTTAAGTCTTTCATGCAAAAAAGAATTACGGAGTACCTTTTTTTTTTTTTTTTTTTTTTTTTGTTGTCCATGCACAAGGCATTGGACAAGACTCGTCTACCCACCGTTAATGCGGTCCAATTATAAATGCACATATAATCTATAATTACAAAAATAAGAAAGTGATAAATAAGGAAATCAGAGAAAGGGTGACTTAATTTATTCTAAAAATCAATTATTATCCTTATTTAATAATTTCCTAATTTTGTAATTACAGACTATTTGTGCATTTATGATTAGACTACATCAGCAGTGAGTAGACAAGTGATAAATTATTCATTACAACCGTTGCAATCATGTAGTGCAACGGATGGTTACAAATACTCCACGGTTCACCAAAGTAAAATGGACAAATAATATAACCAAAAAGCTAATATATGTGTTCTAGTAAAGTGTTTGTAACCGTTCGTTGTATCACATCATTATTGTAACGATTGTAATGAATAATTTCTTAAATATAGTTATTTGGATGCATGGAATCAACACGGGTAAACATTAAGTTCATCAATTGTTTTTTGTTTATTTTTTATTTTAATGAAAAATAAAAAGATATGTTGACTTGTTTACCATGTTAGACTTAGATTTATTTATTTTATCCCGGCAAATTGAGAGGAAATAGAATTCAGACAAGAGCACCCCACATCTGTTCGGGAACTGGAACTCTATCAATTAGGCACTCAGTAATGCACGTAATACTTAAATTGATTGTGTAATGTTTGAATAAGACTTCGATTAAGTCATTATTTTAAATAATAATAATAATAAGGGGTTTGTAGTGAACATTGTTGTTAATCCAAACAACCCAATTTTCTATCCAAATTGAAGTTGGATTTAAAACTTTTTAATCCAACCTAACATAAACAACAAAATGACGGATTAGACTCCTTGTATTTCTAGGTCTCGTAACAAAAAAGTAGGCTAATCCAACTAATCTTGCTTGCACAATGAAAAAGACTACTGGTTTATCTCTCTATCGAATCAAATTGGCCAAAACTGTCCATTCATGAGCCTATGCTAAAGTTTCAATCAATTTTTGCCAATATCCACGCCTTGAAATTAAGAACATAAATCCATTAGCGAATGACAATGGGTTTAGTTTGTTAGGGGAATGCCTTTTTCATGCTCATTATCATTTAATAAATTACACTATTGTCCATTAAAAACGTTTAGCAACAAAATACTATTGTATTTCATCATCCTCGTTCCACCTTGTTTATTTTTTATTTTTTAAATATTTTTTATGAATAAAATAGTAGAAAAGTCACATCAAATTTGGATGGGGGTTGAAATGTGTATAACTGGGTGAATGTGCACCACTCAATAACTTGAGTTTTTGAGTAAATGGACAAGCGTCCACTCGTTACAGTTGGTATAACTTGAATTTTTGGGTAAATGGGTAAGCGTCCACCTGTTATAGTTGGTATCAGTTCCAGACCCACCTGTTATAGTTGATATCAAAACCAGACTCAATCCTTAATTCAGTGTTACACCAAACCTTTGACCTAAGGGTGCCCTGGTCCTCCCTCAGGTAGGCAAGGTTGGGGAGAATGTTAGATTTGTCCCCTATTAAATTTAAATGGAATATGTAATACATAATAATTTAAATTTTTAAATAAATAATCAAGAACCTACCCGAAGGGCATTGATGGGATAATTTTCAACAGTTACAAAGGGCATTGATGGGATAATTTTCAACACTTTCACTTTTAGTCTAACCGCGTTGTTTTATTTGCTAGCCATCTAAAACTCTACTTGTCGGTGACTCGGAGGCTACTGAATTGAGGAACCGAGTTGAGTTATTGTGACTCAGTGGTTTCCTACGATTCGGCACTAACAAAAGGTTCGTACTTGTACATCCTAGTTGTCTCAAATACTACTACTACTTCTTTAGCACATCGCAATGAATAAACGATAAAAGAAGTTGATCATACTATATAGATTTCGATCCACATACAGATCTCCTTACCATTTTCATTTTTCCTCTCTGCGAAACCCTTCAATTCCTGAAATCCTTATTTCGCGTTTTTGGGAGGTGAGTTGACCTTTTTTCTACAACAATTCTTAATGCACATCTACATATTTGTGTGTGTATATATATACATGTGATTATATATGCCTGTAATCATATATATTAATCGCAATCCAGTTTTTGTTTTGGAACCGATTGCAAATACCTGGTTGAGATCTGGGTTTCGATAGTTATGTTATGATTTTGCGACACGAGGTTTGTTTGTGTAATGGGTTTAATCTATAGAGACCGTTACTCTAATCTCTTTGATCATCGGATCAAAATGATTTGATTTCTTTGGATTCTTTTTTTTTTTTTTTTTGGTAATTTAGATATTAATGAATTTCTTATTTTCTAGGGTTCTTTCTAATTTCCATATGTATACTGATTTGTTTCGAAATTTATTTCTGTCTACTGATCTGCTTGTTTGTTGATAAACTAGTAAAAGAGTAAAAGTTAAGATGATAAGCCCTATGTAGTTGATTAAGTCAGACCCTAGAAAACTCAAGCTTCAACTAACTTTACTGTCTAATTGAATGGAGTTTTCCAAATATTTGACACCAAAGTGATTGGCATTTTAACATTAATTTTGTTATATGTGTCATTGACTCCTGGTATAATTACAACCATTACTCTTGAATTAACTAGGCTTTACCCTTTTTCTGTTATGGGGATTTACAGGAAAGTTGAAACTTAGTTTTAATGGAAGGAGTTGGGGGTGATGGCGCCTCGCAAATGGCGCCTTTAGCCAAGTGGAGAAATGATTTCTCGAGGACATTTCAGTATTATTTGGATAGGTCCACTCCTCATCCAGTGCAGAGGTGGCTCGGAACTCTGGCTGCTGCAGCGATTTATGTCTTGAGGGTTTATTTTGTTCAAGGATTTTACATTGTATCTTATGGCCTCGGAATATATATTTTGAATCTGTTAATTGGGTTTCTGTCACCCAAGATTGATCCAGAGCTGGAAGCTTTAGATGGGGCTTCGTTGCCGACAAAAGGCTCTGATGAGTTCAGGCCTTTCATCCGCCGGCTACCTGAGTTCAAGTTCTGGTGAGATAGACATTCCACTTGTGGCTCTTACTATGATTGTTTGCGCTGCGCGCGTTTATTATTATTATTTTTTTTCCAAATATAATCCGTTTATTATTATACTGCAATTTTGGAGACCAGGACACATATATTCTACACTCTGAATACCTGGAAAATTCTTGTTATCGTGCTTCATTAGTAACTATGCTACCTAAATTCTCTATTTGTATTAGTTCTCTTAACGTTTTTTTTTTTATTTTTTTATTAATATTCTTAGTTTGGTTTCTTAAGATGGTGGAAATGCAGTAGTTAAGTAACCGTGGTAACACCAGAATATCATAGTAGGCTGCATTCGTTATGAACTTATGACCTAGAAGGCTGGATATATGGTACTATTAAGATTGGCATTAGGCAAATTTAGTTGTCTATCTGAGTAATGCAGACACCACTTTCCACTTGCATCAACCCACTAAATTACTATTTAATGTCCCAATTAGTACAAATTGTTGGAATTGCTACTAGCTTAAGTTTAGGTGCCACTTGCATGCAGGCACATCTTCAGTCACTCTAGCATTTATAGTCCTTTCCCTGGCCCCTAATTTTAGATGGATTGCCTGCTTAAATTAGTTGTGTTCTCTCTCTGCTGATTTGTTGAAGCTGATGGAATAGATGCTAAGCTCATTTAGCAGGATCTCATTTGATAATGGAATCTTATAGAAAAATGGGCAAATTACATTACCTACATTTGGTGTCTGACATTACGTAGGAACTACTCCCTTGGTTTATGAAACTGTATTGCAAGCCCACTCCAGATTTGTCTGCTGATGGCGTTAACAGTATGTGAGCTTTTACATTAATGCAGTCATATTTGGTATAATATGATTTAAACAAAAAATTAAAAATCAATGAAGAAAGAGACAACACAATCCCTTTCTTTACTTGTCACCTCCTTTTCCAGTGGCGTCGTCACCAATTGGGCAACCAACTAGGTTGAGACAGAATAGAGAAGCATTGCAAACTTTCCCTCTGGAGAGAGAGATTCCTTCCTCATAACCATACCCAGTAAAATCCATTTCAACACATCTATGACTGATATCCTAACCTGGTGAACTATGTCAATGCCTCTACTAAATGTCTAAAACAATACAACTGCCATTATGAACTCCATATTCTCCAGCATTTGACCATGTAGTACCACCATATTTCTAGAGGTTGCAACCTCAACAAAACATTTGTTTGGATACTCAAAAACTCTATCTCCACCTGAACCGAGACCACCAAAACCATCATAATTATCAACACTTCAATACCACAAGATCGATGACCTGCAATCCAGTACCCACGGATGATCTAACACCATTGACCGCAGTTCATTAACTAAAATGCCCCCTGCAACATAATCTCTGCCATAACCAGCAACCTTATTCCAACTTAAGTGATACCATACTTCTACGACCATCTAAAAACCTCCACCTTAGGACTACTTCCATGGACCAACTTTGTAGTTTAGGTATTCACCATAACTGGGCTCCACTTCTTCCCATTGTGTTCATGCCAACTTGAACAATGCCACAAACCACAACTGGCACAATGTCGCAATCCCGATAATAACCTTTCTTTTTTCCATTTGTAAAGATCGAGTTACACTAATCGCTTGAACCACAGTCTCTCTCTTTAAAGCTCATCATAGAGATATGGTGATACAACATTAACAGGCTACTAATTCATTCAATTCAAAGTTTTAAGTGATGTTAAACTTTTACTTACGTACAGATGAATCAAGGTCTGTTAGGAAGGAAGTGTGAGAAAGGGAGTGTTGATTGGATGCTTCAGGTGGATTGAAGAAGACGAATAATAAAGATGATGGTTCCATGAGCTGAGATGGTGGGTTAGGGAGAGGAACGTAGAATATAGTGTTAAGCTTTATTCCTTCCAAACACAAACTGCACACGAGCAATCTATGCTGGTGGAGCAGATGACCTTTGAGCCAAGGTTTTTAGGATCGGGATTCTACGTAGGATCGATGAGGGGTTCCTAGGATCAGAATCGTAGGATTGGATTGAGAATCGTAAGATTCTATAAAACTATTAGAAATGTAACTCAAGCTAACTTTCTAAATCAAATATTTTTGATATAAGTATATACTAAGGCTAATTAACCAAATGAGACACTCTTGCAAAATCAATTAATATTAGAAGATACTAAGACACATGACAAACACTTACATCAATTTCAGAGAAGAAATTAACGTAAAGCCTAAACAAATAGAAAAAAGGAATAGAGAAGTAGAGAGAGAAAAGTACATTTTAGTTGCCTAATTGTTTAAGCAATTTAGTTGAAAAGTTAATTTTGGGCAAAAAAAAGGAACAAAACAAAGATAGATAGAATAACAAAAAAAAAAAAAAAAAAAATGAAACAAATTGTATGGCCTTTGAAAGGCTTCAATAGAGAGAAGATTACAACAAGTGAAGAGTAAGTCTCTCTTTGTTTTTGTTTCAGAATGGACAAGAATATGTGATTGTTCCTTGTACTGAAAAAGAAAGAAGAAAAGAGAAATTAAGAAGAATAAAACAAAATAGAGAAATTTATCGATCGTTGGTTCTTTATTGAGGGTAAATTACATGTGCTTATTTTAGCAAATAAAGAAAAAGATGAAGGACAAAGTAAAAAGGGGGTCTTAGCAATGCAGACCCATCAAGGATGACTCAACGGAATGGAGGGCTTTCCCAGAACTTAGCAGTTCTGGCCAAATCAAATTGGTGTGATTGGAACTTGTTGGGCTGTACTTTGATGAATCAAACAAGTAGATTTGATATTAGTATGGTGCTGAGGTGTTCTGCAAAAATTTATTATTTTGTTCTTTTTAAATTTTGATGTGAACTAATAATTTAATCAACTAGTTAACACACTTGAACTACTATAGTCTATATGCTTGAAGTTTATCTGATCTAAATAGTATCCTAGCACTTGGGTTGCCAGTTGCCTACAAAAACTTTGCTTTGCATTCCACCTGAGCTGAATGAATCCTTGCATGAATTCATCTTACATTTTTTCCGTATTGTTTCTTTCTCTGACAACTCATCGGTCTCTTGTGCTCGTTTACTCTTTTCCTTGGTATGGATTGGTGGTTTGATGTCTTAAAATGTGCTAGTTCTTGCAAAACTATTGTTATTATAACCAAAGTTTGTGCTAATTCATTTTTTTGTATGCCTGTTTGATTATTTTTGTTGAAATGAAAAGCTAGACAGAGGACAGTGATATAAAGTGTCTTTGCATGTTCAGTGTTGGGTATGTATGCAACAATGTAACAATTTTTTTGCATTTTGTCTTGTATATTTGTTTTTCGGAACTGGATGTCTGTTATCAATCCTTGAATTTTATGATGCACTCTTTAATTTTGAGAATGTTGAATCATTCAGTTGTTAGTTATGGGTCCTCTAACTTGGCAATTTCTCTTGAGCAATCAGCTCTGGAAGAAGAATGACATAGTGCAACTATGGATTTGAACAACAACAGTTATATTTGCTTTTTTCTTCATTCTTTAACACCTCCATTCAAGTTTCCAAGAAAATCTTTCTTATAGATTATCAGAGAAGACACTATATGGCAAATATATTTGTTGAAACAAGACTTTGTTGCCACCACTTACATTTAGATCTCCATGCTTATTGAGGTAATATATCGAAACACGAGTTTTTCAGTCAGGAGACAATTTCACCGGAACTATGTGAGTCTTATGTTAAATACATATTTGTCTTGCAGGGACGGTTCCCCTTCTTTATCAGTGACAAAAAACTGTATTCAATGCATGCATATTATACCACTATCAAATCAACTCAACTCAACATCGCCTTGTCCCAACTTTTGGAGTCGGCTACATGAAAATATTATCATAATTATTATACTTCAAAATCAAATATGTCGAGTAATAATATCGTTTCCTGTTTGAAGAGAGATACAGGTATAACATTTTAAGCACTAGATTTTAATAGCTCAAACAGATATCAGAACATTTAATTGTTGGGCTGCCCTAATTTCAATACGAACATATAGGTCTGCAATTACATCCTATGCCTTTACTTGTGTAGGTATTTTGGTGGCTAGTGGATGTATACTAATCGGGTTTGGGGGAATATCCATAATTTGTTATAGGATAGTAACAATTGCCAAGTTCTCTAGGCATTAGAGAAGTGATTGCTCATAATCGTAGCTGTTTGTATATGAGATTATGACGGGAAGATGAGTGACTGGCTAGATGAAGAAGATTAGATTATAAATGCATGAAATAACTTATTTTATATGGACTTGATATGTGAATATCAAGTGTGAATTTCTAAGTCTGGGTGTTGGGTTTATCAAATGTCTGAATCTTTGGACACATGGACATGACTAAGGTAGCATCATTGGGAGCTTCCTCATACCAAACGTCCTTCACTAGAAAGGCTTGGGAAGAACTTTGTTAGAAGGAATTCAAAAGGAAGCATAGTTTCTAGAAGTCTTTTCAAATTAAGAAGTTGCTTTTGAATAGTAGAATTACTTTTTGCTGACAAAGTTTTCATCAATCCTGCATGTCAGCTAAATAAAACCCATGTTCTTGAGTAATCTAGATGCCGTGTTAAACAGCGAAAATTGTTAAAAAGAAATGGTTTAGGTCAATTAATGATTATTTGATTAAATATAAGTCTGAGCAGCATCTGTGTTTAGGGATGGCAATGGGGCAGTTTGGGGCGGGGATGGTGAATCCCCCATCCCCGTTTAATTTTTCACCCCCATAACCACCCCAAAATCTGCTGGGTTTTTCAAAGTAGTCCCCATCCTCGTCCCCATTTACATAATCAGTTCCCCAAAACCGCCCCAAACGGGGCGGCCCCCTATTTCCTTGTTTGCCCACGTTTTTGTGCTCTCAAAATTGAATTTTCTGTTCTTCCCCTCCTTGTTATGTGTATGCATATGTGTGTGTGTATAATAAGTAATACATTGAGGCACTAGTCCTGTACAAATCCAAAGACACATTTACTGGCATATCAAGGAAAGTATTCATCGATAAGTGAAGGCTTTATACCGTTTTATTCAAATTAAAATCTTAATATAAATCCACCATTAAAAAACCTTAAAATCTTTATACCGTTTTATTTTGCTATCTTTCATTGCCAAATATAAAAAACCAGATCAATTCAAAACCATCTATGAGAAGAGAAAACCATGTCTATTCCAGTGGTCGGCGACTTTGATGGAGTACGTTCCAAAATCGTAAGGCGGCAGATATGGCATGATCCTCTTCCTCCAGGAGCAGACCATTTACTCTCACACTTCATTGTCGTCCGATGAGCTTTAGTAGGATTGCTCTCAAGAGAGGTCCAAAAATGTTTGGTGGCAAAGGAGGAGGTTTCCTTATGGCTGCTGACAAGGGGAGTTCTGGAAAGTTTGACGAGCCGTGTGTATCATCTTCCAAGTCTTATTATGGAATATGCAAATCTTGTCAATATATGTATATAATAGGGACAAATTGGTAAAGTAATTATTTTACTAGAAAATATAATTCTGGCTTCTTAAAGGAGGTTTTAAAAGAAATTACTTTTTGTTTCTCCTAAACAGACTTCTTTAATCATGGACATAGACATAAGGAAGAGTCCTTTCCTTTGCAGCTAAATGTCGCAGTTTTTCTTAGAAGGAATTTTGTAGTTCAGAAGGACTTCCTAAGAGCTCTGGAAGCTAAATATGCATATTTTTTATATTTTACTTTTAGGTTAAAATGGTGTTTTTATGTAACATGGACATTTTACTTGTATTGAAGCAATAATGTAATAAAAAGAACTTGATCAATGTAAAAACTTGCATTAATATAAGAACTTGTAGGAGCCTTTTACAAACGACTATATAAAAACTTGAATTCATATATAGGCTTGGTAGGTACATGTTCAATCAAACATGTCGAGACATATTATCACATATCCATGGGACCATGCCCTAGGCCTAGTGTCATGTGTCCACCACGGTTACTTTGCTCATTTAAAATCACTGTTCAATAGGAAAGAAAAGCGTAGTGAACTATTTGTTTAGGCATGCAGTGGAGACTTGTGACTTTGCTGTTATAAGGTTGTCCTCCAAAGCATCCTCTTAGAGATGAGATGATGGAATAATGATAAGTGCAATCATGGAAAAAATTTGAAGCATCAGTATCTAATACAGGATTGGGCTTTAGCCTTTATGTATGGTTTATTATATTTGGTCAAATAGTTGCACCAAGTCTTGGCAATATATGGTTGCTTTTTCTCAATATCTCAGATTTGCTTTCTCACCAATTAGCATTGATTTGCTGAAAGATTTACTTGTGTTTCTAATATGAATGCAAATATTATCCTGACTTATTACCTGCATTACAACTTTTTTTCCGATAAATGTTACCTGCATTACAACTTCTTGTATTTGTAATGAGTGATTTGGTTCAAGAGTTAGTATTCTGTTTTTCTAAGATTCAGGTTTGTCATATAATCTTCCAACTATTGTCATATAGGTTTTGTTAATTTCTTTATTTTTACTTTATTTGTTTTTTCTGTTAGTGACTTTTAGTTTCACACATATATTTTTACTTTGTTCTTGGATATAGTTGTTGGACCGTCTATATTACATATGGCAGTACAAGTTTAGAAGGAAGATTTTTTGACCCAATAATTTGTTTTTACAATGTTTGCGATTTAAGAATTTTTGCTGACCAGTAACCTTGAGAACTGCCATGATCAGTGATGTAGTTGATTAGTAAATGGAGCTCTTTCCTGTCATAATAAATAGTTGAAACTTTAAAGTGAAGGAACTACAACTACTTTCACAACCGAAGTATTGAGGGTTGAGGTCGTATGCAAGTACCCGATCATGTACCTTGTACCGCAGATTTTGATCTGATAGAGGAGATGGTGTGGATTAAGATTTGGGTAACTCACTCCAGAATCTATTATTTGGTCCACCAAATTAACTTGAGAGTGTGCGCGCCTGTGTTATTTATTTATTGATTATTATTATATTTTGGGTGGGGGTCTTTTCCCTATCAGTTCACACTCCACTATTTCTTGTATTAGTGCAGTTCACTTGCTTGAGATAACATTTTTCCTTTTGTTTTATGATTTCAGGTACGCCATAACGAAGGCTTTCTGTGTGGCTTTTTTTATGACCTTCTTTACTGTATTTGATGTCCCAGTTTTCTGGCCCATACTGCTATGCTATTGGATCGTTCTATTTGTCCTCACAATGAAGCGTCAAATCGTGCACATGATAAAATACAAATACGTCCCATTCAACCTTGGAAAACAGGTGAGAGCTTCTTTGTGCTGCCATGCATGTAACATGTTTCTTCTTATTTTTTAATATTTTTCCCATTTATTTTGTTTGTTTATTATATCCCCAGTTAAATCTGTGGTGGCTGCAGTGGGATTTGTCATGTTTGTACCTTGTGTTATTGCGAGTGAAATATACAATAACTGTTTGTTTTTTGGATTTTGACAGAGGTATACTGGTAAGAAGTCTGCTGCAAGTAGCAGTGGCTCGTCAAGGGACTGAAGCTGAACACGTACCTAGTTGGAGGAAAAGCGTAGGCCTGTGGTTTTATGCTCCAAGATTTTCCGTTGGAACATATAATTTTCTTGTAAAACATGTATCCGTGGTTAACATGTATGTTGCTGACTTAATTCTGCTCGACTTTAGAATCAAATGCAATTTGCATGATTAGGATTCTGACATCTCATAGATTGATCCGAAACACTTTGTTACAGAATATATTTTGTTAGGAACCAGATATGGTTGGTGGAAAGCCAGTCCTTGCTTCATTGTTATAAGATCGATTTGATTATCTTAAAGCCTTAATGAGTTGTTTTCTGTCATTCCTAGAGCTGGTCTAGTCAGTCCAGGTCATCTGTTGGATTATTGTGGGTAATAGGCCGCAAGTGGGTTTAGTAAATTGCATTTTTCTACACACAAGGATTAGTCCACTAAGAAAGATTATTCACTCAAAAAGTTTACAATCTCCACGTGTGTAACAGTTCATCTTATGTAGTAATTAATGCTATAGGGAGCATCAAATCAATGATTTGGTCTTGAATTTGGAGGAGGAAATATAGTTTAAACTTACTTCTCTATGGTTTGACTGAATCCTATCTTAATGTTAACCATTACCTTTCTGTGCTTCCTCTCTCTGGATTGATCATATATTCATATTCTTATGCTTTCACACACCTTTCTGTGGATGAAAGATTACACAATAATGTGTCACCCTTTGGAGTGAGGTAGCTAATTGTAATGCGTGAGGTTTGCTCATTTATTCAATCATCGGGTAGTACTGCATATTTACTTATTTATATTTAATCACTTTTTCATTCGGATTCGATGTGAGACAAATAATTCTTATTACATTTTCCTCCACCTAAACTCGCTACGCCTTTGTTGCGGTTCGGGTCACCTTGCCTATCCAGGCTATAAACTCGGACACCCTCCGGACCGGGCCCGGATCAAGAACTGGGTTTGGTTTCGATACCAACTGTAACGGGTGAGTGCTTGTTTATTTATCCAAAAGTGGGTAGTGCTGCATACCCACCAATTTATACTCAATCACTTTTCCATCCGAATTTGATGTAAAACAAATGACTCTTGTTACACTAATACAGGAACACAAATTATATTATTATGATAACTTGCTTTCTCATCCAGATGTAATTTTTTGAGCATGGTTGAAGAAAAATTGGTCCTTAACAAGTGAAATGTGAAGCATTAGAACAATTTTAGAAATTGGGTTCCCTTGACTTGGATTGGAGATATGACAGGTGGAATCTCAATCATACGATCAATGGGTTTTTTCCCGGGAAAAAAAAGGAAAAAAAAACAGAGCTCAATGGGTGCACCAACTCCAACTACTGAACACCAAAAACCCCAAGGTCGTTGTCAAATATCTGACTTTGCTTATAGAAAGGACATTTTATACACACATGTATATATATAATAATATCAAATTGATCAGTAGTTAGGAATTTTATAACAAAATAATTTGATTGGTTTCTAAAACATGGCCAGCTAAGTTTGTGAAGGACATCTTCTACCTTTCAAATTGTTATACATAAAAACCCTCTGACAAGAACTCAGAAGTGTCTGCAATAACAAATGAGTGGGAGAACATTCGTTGCGATATTGTTCTTCTGGGCTGTCCTCACAATTCTCACTCCTACACTGGTTCGCTTGTCGGCGTCTGCCAAAGCCAACTTGGATTTAAATGGTATGAAATTCAAATTTGTGTACATCCTTTTATCCACCAAAATTCTCTTTTGACATAATAATGTAGCTATATTGCTTTACTGCTTACTTTATGTCATTCTCATGAAAAATGTCATGTTTGGTAGGTGAGAAAAGGGAGGAAATGAATGCTAAGAGCATGATGGGGTTGTTGCCCAGAAGAGCCCTTGTGGCCGTGGTACTGCCGCCGGCACCATCACCGGCACCAATACCGGCATCATCAATGAAACTTTGGACCAAATGGAGATCATAATCTTAGTGTGTACAAGACCATGTCAATACCCAAAATTATACTTTCTCAAGATCAGTGTCATTACAAATCCATTAAATCAAACCAATTGAGAGATATAGCTAGGGTCATGTTGATTCAATTTTGCTTTATGATATGGTCTGTCATGGTTTGTAAATATGTCACTTTAGGTGGAGCATAAGAATTCAATGATTTCAACGGATGTTGTTTCCTTGCAATAAATGAAAAGGAAAGAGTGATTATCCAAGGAATAATTGGGTTTATGACAAAGAAGAATAATTTAATTGTCAATTAAAGGAAGTGTTTGTTGTTATTATAAAATGCATGTGCAGTTGTGTGATATTCCATTATTATGAAACTCCTTGGTACAAGAAAATGGTTCAATGATCATGTATTAAGATCTAAATAAGTTTAGTAATTTTTGAGAAGTTATCTAACAGTTTTAGCTTATTTATCTTTGTCTGTTTAGTTCAAAATTTATATTAAATTTTCTCCCCATCTTAAATTTAAGGTACCGATTCGATACTGTTAGTGTATTCCATGACATCATATTTATTTTGGAGCTAATAATAACGTTGTTTCAATAATGCCAAAAAACCTTGGTGTTCCATATGACCTATCCATAATGCTCATGGCACATAGTACGGGAGTTTTACTAAAAATTCAGTGGCATTATTTTAATTTTAGCAAAATTTTAGGCATTTAATATAAATAAATAAAAAATCAATGGAAGAGGACTCTCACTCGGCTCCATATTGCTCCGTTCATGACTTTTACGATAGCCGCCAACCAACGGAGATGATATAAACTCAGTTTTATTTGTTATTAATAAGTTATTTTTTTATTTAAATTCATTGTTGTGTTTGATAGTACCGAATTGGTATATTAAATTTGAAATTGAAAGAAATTCAAGTTAAAATTTATCTCTAATACAATTAAGCTAGCCATGAGCCATGCAGTTCTTACTGCTACTAGATTCATGTTATATCCTGTTCTACATTTAAGAGTTGCTTGAAAATTGTAGAGGTCAATAAGATGACCCCAATCAATTAGAAAACTTTTTTTTGGTTGTTCGGACTAGGTCTCAGCTAATCAGAACATGCCATGACACAAAATGTATAATTCTTTTCAAAAAGCAAAAGTTTACAAAGATTAAAAAGGATATTTTTTGTGCGGTTATTTTTCGTCCCTTCTCTGCTGCTTTAACGTTAGAGGCCGAAGCGTTGGTCTATCAGCGTGCGATTCTTTGTGCTATCGATTTGAATTTCTTTTCCTTATGGTTTAAATCGGATGCTTAAGTTGTGATGGAAGGGGTGTTATGTAAACTGTCTTGGCCGTCAGAAATTGCTTCTATTTGTTTTGATATTGCGCGGGACTTGCGACGGTTTTCATCTGCTCAGTTGACTCATGTGTGCCGTCAGGATAATCGGTGGCTCATGTTTTGGCCGCTCTTTCGCGGTCTGGGCTTGTGTCAGATATGTGGTTGTCTTCTGTTATTCCTTCTGTCGTCCCTTTTGTGGTGGCAGATGGTGAATCTAAGTGGGTTGTGATTGTTTTTTGCCTTGGACCAAAAAATAATAATAATAATAAAGTACAAGAGTTTAAATAAGTTCACATAAATGAAGGCTCAAGGCTCATTTCACACTTCAAATTTAATATTGCATATGTGACATAGTGAGGCAATTTAGTTGATAAATAAGGAGTGAGCGTGACAAGTTGTCTTACAAAGGAAATAAATTAAAGATGGGAAAGTTGCTAATCAAATATGATCTATTAATGTTGATGTATTGCATTTGTATTATATAATCGTGAAGTTACGAGCTCAGTCACATCTTACCTAATAAGAAAGGACAAAAAAAAAAGAAAAAGATAATGCTTGACAGTTAAATCATAAACATAAATATACCTATAAAGTCTATAAGAAAAATAAAATAAGAAAAAGAAATACACAAATAAAGATTATATTTAGATTTTTTTTTTCTTCTCCCTCTCTCATTCAATGCAAGTTTTGAAACTTAATGTTCTAATTTACAGTGTAGCCATTGTATTAAATCATGAGTCAATAATCAATCAATTAGAACAGTATTTCAACTTCAAATGACAAGTGTCAGTATTTCATGAATAGTTGGATTGCTTTTCGGTTTTTAAGAGTCTGCATTCGAGCTTTATATCACTGACACTTAAGTCTTATCATTCCTTCCATGAAAAAAAAATGAAAAAGGAAAAATCTTCAAATGATTTGCGTGTATATAGTTAGTGGAAGCAAAATTTTCAATTACTGGATCTAAAAACTCTCAATCCCGTACGTTATTTTCAAGGAGTCAAAAAAAAAAAAAAATTTTAAATGATTCAATTTATGAATTTATTTTTCACATTTTACAGAATGTTTTGCCTCCTACACGCGACTCTTTTTGAGTTTTTCATCAACAAAATTCATGAATGGGGAGATGGGAAACTCAAAACAGATTCAAGCAGAATTAAAATTAATTTTTCAAAATTTTGTTACAGGGACCTTCCCTCTAATTAAAAACTGTTCTCTCAAAACAAATCCTCTAATTTTAGACATGAAAATAATGTGCGTGATTAAAATCTATTGAGGTTATTTTTTTTATATGTTATGCTATGTACGAAAATGAATAATATTAAAAATTTTCTTACAAATAATTCAAGTATTTTTTAAAAATAAAATAAAATAAGATTGTTGTAATAGACTTTAAGATTGTTTGTTTCTCTGTTGTTATGAAGTTTTGTTACACAAATCTTATAAATTTGGAATCCTTATTTTATAAACTTTTTGTGCATATATTATTTGCAATATTTGGATATACAGTTTGTGAGATTGGATTTTTAAAATTCGGAAAAATTAAGATTTAAATAAATGACATTTTGGTCCAAATATCAACTCTTTTATCCCTCAGATAATTAATGGGGTTCTCTGGTAAAAAATTAGGCAATAGACATTTACTAGAAAATGTTACAAGTTGAGGGGAGTTCTTTGATAAAAAATTAGACGAGGGTTTTTCTGAAAATGTTACAAGTCGAGAGAATTTTTCTGTATTTTGTCATTTTTTTTTTATTCATTTTAGTTCTCCAATTTGGACTCTAATTTTTATTTCATATTTATCCTCATTTATAATTAGGGAAAAAAGTATATCCACCAACATATTTACAAAGAAACACCAGAAAATAATCTTTTTTACAAGTGAGTTTCTTTCCAAGATTTCTTTGCTAAAACATCAGTCCGCTTTTCTTCATTCCCATATAGAACAGACGAATAATTAATTCATTTCACAATCACCATTATTTATTTATTTATTATTATTTTTTTTTAAATCTTAAACAAAAGCCATGTGTTATATAATTCATATGTCAAAAAAGTTGTAAAATGCAAAAAAATATTCTAGAGTTATTATATTAAAAATTGCTATAAAAAAAATAAATAAATAAATAAAAAACGAAAAAACGTGTAAAGCGTCTTTTGGAAAATTATACCATTACGAATACTAAGATGCCATTTGAAAGCCATACAACAGTTCAATTCGTTAATTGTAATTTTAATTTGATAAATGGTTATTCACTGCCGTAGGCTGATGTTGTGAGATTTATATGTACCACTCGCAAGTGCACGAATCTTTACAGATAAGGTTTACTTGTAAGGGTGTCGTACCCAAGAGACTTGTGTAAATTAAGTTTGTCAACATATTTCTTAAATTCCAAAATTAACTTGAAAGTAGGATAATCGAATCGTGATGATTAATTATAAATTAACTGAGTAGAAAAATAAAATAAACTAAAGAACAATGATTAAATAGGATGTAGAAAATAAAGAGAGAGAGAGAACTAGGGGTGTGATTTCACCACTAACGTCACACCACCAGTCAATTGTATCAATTTATTGGAAATATATTATATAACATGCATATATAAACCATCTACCTAACTACTTTACTCTAGGGTGTAGCATGGTCTCTTTTCTAGGCATAATCCATCAAATCTCTAACATTATATTCAGATAAGAATCATTGTGTAATCATCCCATTCACAACTACAAGAATCATTGTGTAATCATCCCATTCACAACTACAAGAAGTGAATGAGTTGTGTTCAATCACAAGATTAAAATATCTAAGACAAGATAGAAAAATATTTGTAATTGAATTAAAACTCTAAAATCGATTCTTATTGAAAAGTCAATTAAAAATCCTATAAATTACACAATCAAGCATGATAACAATTGTTCTCTAATAATTAAATACAATCAAACCAGTGTGCTAAGATAGGGCTACATCACAACCCTAGCAGAGCGTTTAGCCAAGCATGACTGGGGTGGGATTCTTCATGGTTGAGGAAGACATCTTCACCGCCATGGATCGATCTTTCTTTATTGCTCCTCTGTATGATTCTTCAATGTTGTAGAGGACCCCTTTAAATAATAAAAGATGAGCCCTAAAATTCCCTTTTTCATATAGGAGACATACAAAGAAATTCTATCGAATAAAGACTCCCAAAATTCGTGCAGACTTCTAGGCCAATTTTGACAAAGTAAACAGCTGTTTTAGGAAAAGCTCGTGAAACACAAAATTGTAGCTCTTCGAATTTCCTATCAATCTTCGAGAGAATTTAACTGTTTTGACGCTCGAGGAGAGAGATACAGCCAGATTACTAAAACGGGTTTAAGTTACCAACTTTGGCGACAAATCCTTTTTGGAGAAGGATTTTTCCTTTTCTTCTTCTTTTCATTCTCATCAACTTGTAGCTTCTTTTGGACTATTTTCTAAATATAATTAGACTTGGATCTTCAACATTGTTCGGTCCCACGGAATGTCATCTTTTAAAACTCAGAATTACTGATCTTGACTGATTTTATAATTAAAGCCCTAAAATAAATAAAAACAATAAAACAATGTAAAATCACAAATAAACTATTA